TTCCCCACAGTATTATGCTTTGAGAAGGTTTTATGTTTCGAGTACAACTGATTTGTAAAAAAAACAAAAATATGAATCATAGGAAACCAGAAGAAAGATGTAATTATCGACTGCAAATTTAACTCCAAAGATCATCTTTACATTTTTGCTATGATCAGCAAGAGGTATGCATTTTTTTGCTGTGACATAGGCTACCCAACTATTCTTTTCTTTCTCTCAAGCAATAGTTGGGTAGCCTATGGCTGTGATTGCAATTCAGACATTTTAATGTTAAAACAAATCGGTGGTTTCAAGGAAGTTGAAGAGCCGGCCGAGCTTTTCAACTGCGAAATAGAAGCACAAGCACAGATTCACGCATAGGCCGCCCAACTATTGTTGCAGAAAATGAAAAGAACGAAGAATGCGCGAGAATGCGCACGATTTTCTTAATTTACGGTAGTGTGCGCATTCTTCGTTCTTTTCCTTCTCTGAAGCAATAGTTGGGCGGCCTATGATTCACGCGTGGGTTTGAAGAGTGATTCACATCAGGATCAGTTGGTATCCGCTTATGGCAAGGAATCTTTAAAATCGGAGTTTAGTGAAGTCGGGGATCTTTGCTGTCAAACATATTCACATTTTAAAAGTACGCAAATCTCCCGGGCCAAATCTGTTAATTTGAGACTTGACAGTGAACCATAGGACTTGAAACTCAGATTACGTCATTATATGTTGTAAATCTCCCCGCAATCCCATTTCACCGTTCCAATAATATGGCAAATGATAAAATCCTACCCGATGTCGTAAAGTTCTGGCAATGGCCGTAAAAAAACGTAAAAAGGCTCCCGAGTCTTCCAATCCAAGTCTTCCAATCACACCTATCGAGATTATGGTTATATAACATTATGTCGAAATTGTAGTGTTTTGCGAAGTCGATGGATCCGGATAAAACTAAACTAGAATAACATACATGTAAACTACAACATAGCCGCTAGCCATCTTGGCCAAGACGTCACGTCACGTCACGTGACTTTATTATCACAGGTTTCCCGACATCCCCCTTTAGGGTTTACAATAAACTTTAACTAAACAAACTGTTTAGTTACATTATATAAATCACATGATCAATGTCATAATGTCAATGAAACGATAGTACATAATCAGTGTCAAAATAAATGTTCAAAGTCTCAACATTCTTCTACAAATCTTTTTGGTGGTTGAATCACTCTTCCACTCCTGGTTTGGGTTGTATCTGCATTGGCTGTTTCCAGCTTAGGTTGTTCTTTATTTTGTTCTCCGGCTGCTGCCTTGTCAGGGTTTCTTTCTTCAGGTAGATGATTAAGGTGTTTCCTGTTCCTTCTAACTTCAGTAACTTTCTCTGTATTCACATAGTAGCTCCTTGTTTCAGCTTCTTTCTGTACAGTTTCTTTAGTTTGGAGATCTGGTATCCAAACTCCAGTGGTGGTTATTCCTTTGCTCCGTGATGAGAATCAAAGTTCCTTTTCTGTCTAAGTTTGATGTTTTCATCCTTTTCCTTGAAGCGCTGGAGGTCGATAACAGATGGTTTAAGTTGATCTGGAACTATGGGAAGTGTTGTCCTTAGGTGTCGTGACATCAGGAGTCGGGCAGGAGAGTAACTATGCTCCAATGGGGCTGTTCTATAAGCTCTATAAGCTAGAAGACCAAGATAGGGATCTGCAGACTTCTTTATAATGGACTTCAGTGTTCCAACCGCATTTTCAGATAATCCATTTGCTTGCGCAAAATGGGGACTGCTTGAGACCCATAGTCAGTAGCAAAAGCTGTGAAAGCTTTCGACGCATATGGAGGGCCATTATTCGACACTACACATTCTGGTACACATTTTGTCGTGCAAATATTGACTTACRATAGGCAATGATAGCTTCTGAAGTAGTAGTAGACAATTTGGCTAGTTCCATACACCTTGAGTAGTAATCTATGACTACAAGATAAATCTGTTACGTTTGTTGAACTCCGGCCTCAGGTCAATCCCTACTTTCTGCCATTTGGAAGTTCTGTATAGTTATAAGAGTTTCTGCTCTCTTGATTCTGTGTTGGCTACATGTACTAAAGTTGGTTATGAGCTCTTCAAGCTGGTTTCCTAAGCTTGGCCACCATACTGACTGTCTTGCACGCTGTCTGCACTTGACTAATCCGAGATGTCCAGCRTGTAGCTTTTCAAGCATTTCCATTCTTAGGGCAAGAGGTATGATAATTCTGCATCCTCGCATCAATATACCATTTTGTACAGTTATCTCAGCAGCTACTGGTTGGTAATGTTTTACAGTACCTTGTACTTTCTCAGCCCATCCTTGAGGGCAATATTGGAATAACAGCTGACATGTTTCATCTTCTTTTTGGTGACGAACGATTCTTTTCAGCTGTAGGTTTGAAACTGGTAGATCTTTGATCAAAATGCTTGACTTGTTAGATGCAGCTCGTTCTCCTCCTTTCCTACTGGAGCTCTGGATAGAGCATCTGCAGAGATGCGTTCTTTTCCTGGGACGTACACTATGTTGAAGCTAAATCTCATCAGACGCATGCGGAATCTTTGAACACGTGGTGGTAGGAGATCCAAATCTTTGTTGCCTAGCAACGGGATGATAGGTTTGTGACCTGTCTCAATCTTGAATGTAATGCCTATCAGAAGATCACTGAATCTTTCACAAGCCCAGGTGACTGCAAGATACTCTTTATCGATCTGAGGGTACCACTTCTCTGTTTCAGACATGGATCTTGAGTTGTATGCTGCGAGTCGCCACTCACCATTTTCATGTAGCTGTGTTACAACGTCACCAAGTCCATAAGAGGATGCGTCTGCGCTGACCACTGTGTCTGCTGCAGGATCATAATGTGCCAGGATCTTGATGGGATCACTGAGCTCTTTCTTCAGTTTCTGAAATGCTTGTTTCTGTGAGGGTACCCAATGCCAATCATTCTTTAGGCTGAATAGCTCTCTGAGAGGCTTGGTATTTCAGCTGACTTACTTGTGAATTTTCCAAGTTGGCTTGTCATACCGAGGAATCTCCTTAACTCACTCCTATCTGTCGGCTCTGCCATATCCACGATGGCTCTCACTTTACTAGGGTCTGGACGTACACCACTAGCATCAATGACTTGACCTATGAAGGTTATCCTTGACTGTGAGAACGTACACTTCTCTTTATTAAGTGTTAGACCAGCAGCTCTAATTCTTTCTAGTGCTGTATTCAGTCTCGTCATGCTCCTGTTGTGTTCTTCCATAGATCAAAGTATCATCTATGAGACACAAAGTTCCTGGAAGACCACTAAGTATTTCTGACATTCGTCGTTGGAAGTGTTCAGGGGCTGAAGTAATGCCGAATGGTAGTCTGTTTTAACAGAATCTTCCGTACGGTGTAATGAACGTAGTTAAGAGTGCTGACTCCTTGCTTACAGGGATTTGGTCGAATCCAGAGTTTGCATCCAACTTGCTGAATATTTTAACTCCGCTTACTTGGGCTAGTATCTATTCCACTGAAGGCAGGATATATCTTTCTCTACGTACTGATTCGTAGAGTTTATTGAGATCCACACAGATTCTGACTTTTTCGTTTTTCTTCGGAACTACCATTCTGTTGGCTTGTCGACTTTCGAAATAACTCCTTCACTTTCTAGCCTATCGATCTCCTTTTTAACTCTAGGTAACAATGGAAGGTGAATTCTTCTGGGAGTGTGCACTGCATAAGGTTGCGCTGTATCGTTTAGTTGGATGTGGTATTCGCCAGATAATTTTCCCAGTCCATGGAACAAGTCTAAATATATTTCAAAAGTTCTAGCATGTGGTAGCCCAAGTAGTAGAGTAGAGTCTTTAAACCACTTACAACGTAGACCTTCTGTTTCGTAGATTTGTCTGGACTTGCTGTGATCTCAGCTTCCATCATTCCAAGTACTTGCAGATTATATTGTCCTGGACCAGTAAGGTTGGTTTCTGTTTTCTTTAGTAGCTTGCCAGTCTTCTCGTACACACTTTTTGGGACTACAGTAACATCGGCTTCGGTGTCTAACTTGAATGTGGTGAGAACATTCTCTAGCTTTAACTGCACTTTCCAGTCGTTGTCTTCATTTAGTTCGTCTATTGCTATGGAACCAAGGAATTCATCTTCACACTCTTCGTCATCAGATATGTTATCAACTTTCTTATGGGATCTGCACATTCCTTTGAAATGTCCCTTTTTCTTGCACTGATGACAGGTTGCGTCTTTGGCTGGACAACGTTTTGGGCGGTGTTTACTACGTCCACATCTACGACAGGTAGATGTGACTGTTTACAGTTGTCTTATCCGAGTTGCTTCGTTTTGACTTGTTTTGTTTTCTTCTTTGTCGGTTGATGACATCCACTTTTGGTTTCTCAACTTCAGGTGCTGCACTCTGTGCTCGTACCACCGTTTGCTGCTTCTTTACTGCTTCACTCTATCTAGCTTGGTTAACAGCTTTTTCTAAAGTCAGTTGTGAATCCAGTTGAAGTTTTTCAGCTAATTTTCCATCTTGGAGGCCATCTCTGATCATCTCCTCTCTGAGGGCTTCGTATGCGCAATGCTCAGCTAAGCTGTATAGACTTGTGATTAAGGTTTTCACAGATTCGCCAGGTTGTTGGGACCTTTGATTAATAAACGTTGATCGCTCGAAGATTACATTCCTCTTCTTTACGAAATGAGCTTCGAATTTTGCGATTATTGGGTAGTCTCCCTCTGTCAGTGTGAAGGTACGAAGGATATCGTCCGCTCTATCTCCTATGGAGTATATCAGCGTGTTTATTTGGCTCGGCTCGTCTTTCTTTGAAAGCCAGAAACCACGCGAAATCGCTCGAATATTCGCCGCCACTTTGGCCACTCATCGGGCTTAGAAAAGTCGAAATTTCCGTGGGGCTATTTGAAAGGTTGCCATCATTCGATGAATCCCACTTCTGACGCCATGTAGTGTTTTGTGAAGTCGATGGATCCGGATAAAACTAAACTAGAATAACATACATGTAAACAACAACATAGCCGCTAGCCATCTTGGCCAAGACACGTCACGTCACGTGACTTTATTATCACAGGTATCCCAACGATAACGATAAGTTTAACCTACACCTATCATCGGACAAGGTCTTATTACCAAAATGATCGAAACTTTCCTTAAGAAATTTATTTGTTATCGAGGATAAGGTATATTTAACACAGCCTCTAAGACGAAATTGACGGCTAAAGTAACTTTGCTCTCCATTACGAAACGTCCAAAGTAGTACTATTATTATATTTTTATTGATTTTGATATTTTTACTTGTGAAACATGCAAATAAACACAAGTAAAACGAAAGCCACAACGAAGCCTGAAAACAAGTTATCGAGAAGTCTCTGCTGAAGTTGTAATTCATCATTATTCTCTGTCTTCAGCGCATCGTGTTTTTGGCGGAGAGATTCCAGTAGACTCTTGAGCTGAGCGAGCTCTTGCTGCATGCTGACCATGCTACTTGCTGGACCTGGAAGATATAATGCTATAAATGACCTATTACGAATTATAAGGACCAGTCTAACTAAATCTATTAGAGATTTGAAATTACTAATAAAAGATACACAAGCAATCAATCCATCCATGGCATCATTTATAAACGAATCAATCAATGACCTTTGTTTAACGAGTCCCATACGTTCTGTATTTTTTCCATGGCTGTGTTTAGTCTCTCTTCGTGTTCATGTAGTGTTTGCGAATGCTCTTGTAATAGTGCAGATGGTTGTATTGATTTATTGTCGGAGTTAGTACTTTCCTCAGAAAAAATCGAGTCCAACATCTTAACGAGTGGTGTATCATTTACGAGTTTATCTGAAAAAAGATTCAATTAATGTTAATATACATTTATTGGATATCAGAGATATCTTATATATATACCTTGTGACAGATTTCTTTGAAAATAATAAGATAGAAAGTACATCACATCCGTGAAACATATGTCTGGTTGTTTTGAGGTTAATGGTGCTATGACGAGAAATACGATACGTCATATTCATGACGTGTATTATAAATGAATCCCTCCAAAAAAAAATTGTAATACATTGTTTTTTTATGATTGGAGATATTGCATGATTCGATGCGAATGGACATTTGAGTCACATTATTTTCAATGAATGCTGGTCGATCATGGGCCATAAACACTGTTACACATATAACGTCGTGGTCTTTCCCATGCTCTCTTTAGCTTTGATGATGTCACATTTTGGACTCAATTTAGTTTGTTTTTATA